AATTTTACAGTAAAAACCGACTTTTTTCACTAAAAACCGGTTTTCGAATTCGACTTTCTCTTTTCAGGTCGAGAACGGATATCTGTAGGTAAATTGGATCCCAAAGCAGGCATCGCTATTGGCAGAACCAGCAAAGACTCAACCAGATCCAAAAGAAGGTACCTAAAGTTACCCAAATTCCTCACAGCATGCATCAAAATCTATTTTTCCCCAGATCTCACGCCAATGGTTCAATAGGAAGTCAACGTACTGCACAATCCTTGATCGATTATCAGGAATCAGCAGCCAGGTTGGCATTTACATCCAGGACAACTGATGTTAGCGATGTTGTTGATACTGCTGAAGTATTAAATTCAGCAATTCCCGATTACGAGAGTACTTGGAATGAATTTTTGGGACTCGAATTGTGGAAATGCAGGAAAGTCAATGCGCTGCATCTTAAATGCCAGGAAACTGCAAAGGAGGCTGTGAGGAAACACAGAGGTAAAAATTGATTTGATAAGAATTGATTGACTAGAATCCGATTAGTATGACGCCGGATATATTGACAACCGCTTAATATGACGTAATCGCACTAGGAATTTGGTTTCCATATAAAATTCCTTAAAAAAACAGCTGTCTAGTCGGATATATTGACCTCGCTTACATTGACATGTCGCTTATAATGACCCATTTTTTGCAAAAAAATATGTCCAATTATAATGACCGACATGATTTTACATGATGTGGCCATGTCTACGAAAGCAATTGTTATGTCTTTTGTGCACAGTAGCACCAGGGGCTGTTTTTACAATAAAATTATGCAAAGGAATCAATCAAAAATTACTGATTACTTACATTAAAAAAACACATTTGTATTAGGTTGTCAAATATCTCCCTTCCGCTTTTATATATATATATACGTGTATATATATATATAAAAGCGGAAGGGAGATATTTGACAAGCTAATATATATGTATATATATATATATATATATATATATATATATATATTAGCGTGGTCCTTAAAATGGTCATTTTCGAATTTCCTTGCTCCCAGGGGCTCAAATGGTACCAAATAAATAAAAAACAATTCTCCGAAGGTTTTAGCTCTTAATATTAACGTTTAGATAGAGCGCAATTCAATCAAAGTTTTGTATGGAAATAGCATGAAAAAATTTTCAAAAATTTAAAAAATGTTTTTAGATGTAATCTAGCGAACAAATAAATGAATAAAACTTATTCATTTATCGCTAAGTTATAACTAAAACATTTTTTTAAATTTTCAAAATTTTTTCCATGCTCTGTCCATACAAACTTTGATTGAATTGCGCTCTATCTAAACGTAAATATTAAGAGCTAAAACTTTCAGAAAATTGTTTTTTATCTATTTGGAACCATTTAAGCCCCTGGGAGCAAGGAAATTCAAAAATGACCATTACAAGGACCACCGTAATATATATATATATATATATATATATATATATATATATATATATATATATATAGTTTTTGATATGAAAGTCTAAAAATAAGAAAAACACACGCATAAAAAAGTTGTGTCCTTAAGGGTATCCTTTTTCGTAGAATAAATAGAATATTTTTTATGGACAGGATGTTTTCTTTGAATTCGATATATTGAACTCGGATAGAAGATAAACAAGTCGTTAAATTGTCATGGACCTGCCTTAAAAAATATAATACACACACACACACATATATATATATATATATATATATTCCTATATATATATATATATATTAGGTTGTCAAATATCTCCCTTCCGCTTTTATATACACGTATATATATATATATATATATATATATATATATATATATATATGATACAGTTTTTATATATATATATATATATATTAGGGTGGTCCTTAAAATGGTCATTTTCGAATTTCCTTGCTCCCAGGGGCTCAAATCGTTCCAAATAGATAAAAAACAATTCTCTGAAAGTTTTAGCTCTTAATATTAACGTTTAGATAGAGCGCAATTCAATCAAAGTTTGTATGGAAAGAGCATGGAAAAAATTTTGAAAATTAAAAAAAAATGTTTTAGGTATAACTTAGCGACAAATGAATGAGTTTTATTCATTCATTTGTTCGCTAAATTACATCTAAAAAACATTTTTAAAATTTTTGAAATTTTTTTCATGCTATTTCCATACAAAACTTTGATTGAATTGCGCTCTATCTAAACGTTAATATTAAGAGCTAAAACTTTCAGAGAATTGTTTTTTATCTATTTGGAACCATTTGAGCCCCTGGGAGCAAGGAAATTCGAAAATGACCATTTTAAGGACCACCCTAATATATATATATATATATATATATAAAAGCGGAAGGGAGATATTTGACAACCTATTATGTTTATGGGTAGGGTAGACTAATTATTAATGGCCCACCACGGATATCTCATAAACAAATAAAATTAGATTTTTTTTAACAATTATATTTGATAGTAGAGGGCAAAAAATGTATAAATTCATAACCAGCCATCACATTTATTCTTATGACTTTGCTATCAAAAGATAAGCGGCACATAACTGCGATAAAAAGGACCAGCTGAACCTTTATTTTGGCAAAGGTGTAAGCAATAAAATAGTAAAGTTTAAAAAAAGCAATTTTACAAGAGATTAATTGAATAAATTGTTATTCCGGCTCTTCTGTTGAATATTTCTGACCAATAGCAGATCAATGTAATATACTGTGTGGTCTTTGTAACAAATGTACCCACAGAATTAATATTTTGCATTGGTTCAATAATGTAGCATAAAATGCCTTTAAAATTTAATAAAAGAAATTGCATCTGTTCGCCCCCTGATTGTTCCACTTTACCCCGTATGTGAAGTAAAATGGGTCAGATAACAAATGTTTAAAAAATAGTAAAAAATATAATATTCATATAATTAGGAATTATGTACGTATGTATGTAAGTTTTTCTGAACATAGTTCGATAGATGCTTCTTTGATGTATGTTATGTGTTGTTCATTGGGTTTAGACAGTACAATTACCGTAAGTCAAATTGGACCGTTGTGCCCCGCCCTACCCTATGTAAATTTTATTTTATATTAAATTTTAATGTGTCATTTTTATTTTTAATTAAAACGTTTGTATAGGATTTTCTTTAAAATTACTGAAACATGTAACATATTTGCATATTAAAAAGTTTTTCTTCAGTACGCTTTTAATGACGACCGGTTAGTATGACGAGATTTCGGCGTCCCTTCGATGTCATACCAAGCAGATTCTATATATATAAAAATGAATATTCTATATATATTAATGAATATTTACAGATTATAATGATATGGTGAAGATTCTGCAAGAAGCCAGGAACCGTCTGGAACAAGCTAAATTTGATGCCCGAGTTGCAAGACACAATCGATATCTAGTCGGTGATGGTGTGATAAATGAAGATTCAGAACCGAATGAGAAAGAACATGAAATATCTGAAGCGATTCAAGTTATTGAAAAGGAAATACTGGTCAGTTACTCACAAATGCTTAAAAAAATAATGGAAGCACGCTCATATTTATTTTTTTTAACTTTCCGTAGGGTAGTTATAGTAATGGTCCGAAAATCGAAAATGAAAATTTTTGCATTTCTCGACGTTTTGAAGGTTTCTGAACATTTTGGCATACCTCAGAAAAATGAATATGTGTGTGTGTTTTGTATGTCCGCATTTTTTGTCCACGTTTTCGGGCGCACGGATCAATCGATTTGAATGGTTTAAAAAACATTCGATTCCTATGGATAGGGAAATGTGCTGATTAGTTTTTGGCAATGGCAGGTCCAGACGTTACGGAGATACGGAGCAAAGAGTTCCGAAAATACAAATCGAGTTTTTGAGAGAACGGATCTTCCGATTTGTATGATCCAAAAAACATTCAGTTCATAATGACGGGGGGAAAAGTGGTTATTAGTTTTTGGCAAAGGTAGGCCCAGCGGTTTCGGAGATACTAAGCTAAATGTTAAAAAAATGGCAGTTTTTAAGAGAACTAAGCGTCCGATGATTCAAAGAACTTTCTTTTGCTTTTGGAAAAAAATTTTTTTGTTTCTAATTTTTTTTTTCCAAAAAATATTTTTGTAATTTTGGATTAAAAATTCAAAAAATTACCCAGGCTAAGCACAGTCTAAGCGCCACTCTGGTACAAATGTTCACCCAAGTGCGTTTAGACTGTTTATGCACTGGGGCGCTTTTCCAATTTCGTGAAAATTATTGAAAAATGTGAAAATGCCGCCAAGCTAAGCACAGTGTAAGTGAAAATGTCGCACAGAATTATTTGCAAATGCGTTTAGATTGTGACTATACGAGAGCACTTTTTCAATTTTGTGTAAATTAACTATTTTTTTTTTTTTAATTGAATTCGAAATGAAATGACGATTGTTAATGTTCTGGATTGATTTATAATTTACATTTGATTAGCTCAGATATAACAATAAGATAGCAAAAATAATGAAAGTTACAGTATTTGTAATAATATATTTGAAAACATTAAAAATTTCTCGAATATTTCATTACGGGAAGTTTCAGCAATTTGCCTTAAGACACAATGCCATACACCACTAGTTATTTTTTTTTTTTTAGATGCACAAAGAATGTCTACAACGTCTCCATGCTGACCAGAGAGCAAGTATCTCAAAACTAAACCTGTACAAACAATCCCTGGACGAATGGTTTCAAGAATACTGCAACGACAAATACAAAACCAATGTTGGCATTGTTAAATCAGAATTGTTTTTGGGCGAAGAAGAAACAATCGAAGAACAAGCCATGGAAATGGAAGAACACGATGAAAATTTAGAAACTTCTGAGGAATTTATGTTTAATGCTTTGCAGAGAGAAATGTTTAAAGAAATGTCTAGGCATAAAAAATGTATTAAGAAATTGATCAATATATAAATTATACATGAACATATATATATATATATATATATATACATATATATATATAAATATATATATATATATATATATATATAACTATAAATTATAATTTCACTCACCCAATAGGAAACGATACATATTTTCCATTTAAAGTCATGTAGTACAAGCCGTAGTTGAAAAGCTTTATTTCATTATTATCTCCGATAAGAATATTTTCAGGGCTCAAATTTCTGTGTGTTATTCCTAAGCTGTGTAAATGCTTTATGCCATTAACTAAACCTTTAGCAAACTTTGTAATAAAATTGATTGAAATATTTGGTAATTCTGAAGCACAATGTTCTGCTAAAGTTCTTCCTGAATACTGGGCAACGATAATAGTCCTTTCTAAAATAAAATATACATATATATAAATATATATATACACACACACACACACACACACATATATATATATATATATATATATATATATATATATATTTCAATTATCTTACCGTGTTTTCCTCTAACAATATCCAAGTATTGACAGAGATTCTCATGACATATTGTCTTTAGAATTTGAGCCCTGCCCAAAATTGCAATCGAATAAGGTGTTAAAGGCAAACCATTGCTGCCACAAGTCTCGACTGGATGGCACCTTGCAAAAAATGTGACTGCAGCAAATAAACTAACTTGGTCTACGTTACTTGAGATTACTGGACACATTTTATGTGTGTATACAAATATATATATATATATATATATATATATAGTTATCACAATGGGAATGAGTATTTGTTTGAATAATAATATAATGTAATACTAGTGTTAATAATAATATATAGTTTAACACATTTGTGGTTGTGACATTTTTAGTATTAAGTCTATAAGTTTAATGTGTGTATATGCACATATGTGTCGTTCACACTTATTATTACTATTAACTTATTATTACTACTAATAAATGTAATGCAAACTAATTATTTATAAATATATAGTTCAAAATATTTGAGGTTATGTTTGTGCTTATTTATTATAAATCCACTTTTAAACGTGTATATGTAATTAGGTAATGTTAACACTTTTTATTGATATTAATAATATATATTGAACACAATTTATGTATTTTATGCACATGTTTTATATTTATTAAAATTATTATATATTATTTTAATATTTGACACTTGTGTTTGACATTAACATAACCTATAATTTACAGGTTGTGCAAATTGGTAAAGCGGAATTTCCGATAACGGTTTAAAAATTCAAATCCGTTACAGAATTTGTTTATTATTTATTAATATATACATATATATATATATATATATATATATATATATATATATATATATATATATATAGAAAACCCTACGAACTCCGTTTCGCCACCAGATGGTTTCGTGTGAGATAGATGAAGAAATTTTTTGTTTGTTTTATATTTGAAAAGGAAAAATATGATTTTATTGCACAACAGTAATGAATTTATTTGATTGAAGTGTTTTTTAGTTGAACTTCTCTAAGTAAATAAAAGTGAATCCGCAAATTATCTGTTTCATTGAAGTGCTCTTTGGTAAACCACATTTTTTGTTTTTTGCTCTGACGTTAACACAAACAAAGCGGATGGTTTTCCAACTCGTGAACAGGCAACGTATAACTGCCCATGTGAAAAACAATGATTTTCTAAATAATCTATTTGAAATTTATCCCGCAAACACTAAGCGATTGGCCTTGCGACTTGTTATTGCGAACGCAAGGCGAACTGGAAATTGCAATCGTTTGAAGTCAAAGGAAGACCAGTCAGAATCATTGGTATGTCACCAAATCGCCGGCAATTTTTGATTGAATGGTGAAATTCAGTGCATGTACATCATTATTCTTTGCGGGAAGAATTGCTCGTTGACTTAACCAAGCATAATTCAGATAATTCTCACTAATGTCATTACTCGAAGTTTTAATTACGGTGCGTGAAGTTCCAGCAACTTGCATTAGGGCACAATGCCATGCACCACTAATTTTCTTAGCTATAAACCGAAACGCGAGACCTTTCCAAAGAATGCAAAATTGTCGAAATCGGTTCGTGCGTTCTGGAGTTATTTCGTCAGGAAGGAAAACCCGACTCATCTTTATATATATAGAAGATATATATATATATATATATTACAAAAAATACTAAGTTTCCAGAAATCAATCCTTTTATTATTTATTAAATAGCATCATTAAATAAAAAACTTATGTCACATACTCATAACGCACTAACTTTTTACTAATTAAACAATATACTATAATCTCGTACACAAACCAAAAACCTTTTGATCAGCAGTCGACATTTATTTAATTCTATATATGAATTCTAGACCTAAACAAATCATCAATTCCTCCTCATCTTCTTATCAGGAGGCGGCATCAGATCATGATCGTTTCTAAATCTGTGATTCTGGATAAACCTTAACAATTTTTCAGTCGTCACAGGATTTTTAATACTGTGCCAAACAGCTGAGGATAAAAACAACATGTAAATGATATTTTTACCCTTTAGTATAAGTCATTTACCTTCGGCTGTTGAGTAACTGTTGGGAAAAGATTTGTCCGTCCGTTCTCTCATAAATACCCATTTATTGTTTTCAAGTTTGCATTCGATAATTTTGCCATCTAGTTCTTTTAGTTGCTTCGTGTAATCCATTGTTGCAAACGGCTGGTCGCACTGACCAACATATAAAAATCCTGTTTTCTTTGGCAGAATTCTACCAAGGATAATGAATTTAAAACTTGCAAAAAAACGAAATTTATGAAGTCTCTTATGGTCACTTACCCTAACCCTCCTAGAGTGTTAATTTTTAATTTAAAATCTATAGAATTCATGCTCAAGGGTTTCCATTTTAGTACTTCACTGCACGCTCCAGGTACATAAGGCTATAAAAACAATTTATATATATATATATATATATATATATATATATAATAATAAATAATAACATAATAATATATAAATAATAAATTTTTGTTGAGTGTTTTTGTCCTGTGGTGTGTATAATGTTTCTCTATGCTATAATTAATTTTTATTGTTGTTTATATTAGTTAATAAAATTTTCAAATTGTTGTAGTTGCTGAATGATGACACGCATCTTGTGTCGAAACGTATAAATAAAAGTTTTTAGACTTTATACCTTTTTTATTTCGACGAATGGGCTGCTAGTTACTTTGAAATATGTTTCAACGTCGAAAAAACTATCAAGATATATATAAATATATATATATATATACATATATATATATATATATAAATATATATATATATATATATATATATATAAATATATATATATATATATATAATTTTTTTTAAATAATACTCACATCCAACGAAGGTTGAAATATCAGTCCATCAGGCTCATGAGACAAACTTTTTGCAAATTTAGGTCCCAATAAATTTTCAGCTTGAGTGACGTCCCAAAAACTTTTATTTCTGATACTAAACGGTTCTTTGATGCGTTCGATTTTACCTTCTTTCATTGCCCTATGTCTAGAGTATAAAAAAATAATAGATTATTATTATCGTCATAAAAATCTTTTCTCATACTATTTGACAAAATGTTACAAATTTCAGCAAAAAGTCTTTTAAACCTGGTGATGGAACATATCGAGTTCCGAAACGTGGTAAATAAACATCCACTGAAAAATTGTTCATTTTATAATATTTTATTATTTAAACAAATTTTGTCTTCGACAAAAATAACCTGATGATGAAACATATTGAGTTCCGAAACGTCGTAAATAAACATCCACTGAAAAATTGTTCATGTCATAATACTTTATTATTTATTTGCTAAATTAATCAACAATGTAGTTACAAACAAATTTGGTTTTTGCCAGAAAAAACCTGAAGATGGAACATACCAAGTTCCGAAACGTCGCAAACTGAAAAAATGTTCATGACATGATACAGGGTAAGTTATTGTAATCGTCTACAAATCTAAATTAAAAAAATTTGCATATTTCCACGTTTCAGAAGTTTCTGAACATTTTGGTGATGGAACATATCGAGTTCCGAAACGTCGTACTTAAACATATACTGAAAAAATATTCATGACATAATATAGGGTAAGTTATTGTAATCCTCCAAAAATCTAAAATTAATAATTTTTGCATATCTTCACGTTTCAGAAGGTTCTGAACATTTTGGCATACCTTAGAAAAAATTAGTATATGTGTATGTGTGGATTCAATTTTTCGTCCACGTTTTCAGGCGCACGAATCAACCAATTTGAATGCTTTAAAAAATATTCGATTCCTATTGATAGGTAGATATGTTGATTAGTTTTTGGCAAAGGCAGGTCCAGCCGTTTCGGAGATACGGAGCAACAAGTGCAGAAAATTAAAATCGAGTTTTTAAGAGAACGGTGCGCCCGATTTTAATGATTCAAAAACATTCAATTCTTATTGATGGGGAGAAGTGGTGATTAGTTTTTGGCAAAGACAGGTCCAGTTGTTTCGGAGATATGGAGGTAAATGTACGAAAAATGGCAGTTTTTGAGAGAACTAAGCATCCGATTTTAATAATCTAAAAAAAAAATCTGCTTGTGTTGACGAAACGATTGCTTTTGGTAAAATTTTTTTTTAGCAATTTTTTTCTGTACTAAATTTTATTCTTCAAATTCTATTTCGTTGCGGTACGGGAAGTTCTAGCAATTTGCCTTAAGGCACGATGCCATACACCACTAGTTTATTTATTAAATCAATCAATAATATAGTTACAAAACATATTTTGTTTTTGGCACAAAAAAACTGATGATGGAGCATGCTTAGTTTCAAAACGTCGTAAATAAAAAATCTTTCATTTTTAAAGAAGTATAAATAAATTTATTGAGAAATCAAGGATTAATATATATATATATATATATATATATATAAATATATATATATATATATATATATATATAAATAATTTTTACCTGGGTGCAACAATTTCACCCTCAACATACTTCAGTCGGTTTGGATAAAAAGGTTCCTGTGACACATCTCGTCCATTGAGACAAATAATATCATAAACCAAATACCGTGGTATGTTTTGGCCTTCAACTTTGTCCATAACCATTTCCTACAAAAAAATTATAATTTATTACAATAACAGTATTCAATTCATTCAACTAAATTATATATTATAATTACACTAACCCCATCAAGTAACGTATCGACTAAATGTGTATGTATATTCATTTTGTGTGGAAAGTACATTGACTCAACTTTAAAAACAGAATTGTCTCTGTCGAAGAAATATATTTCGTTCAGTTTGTCAATCAGCATCATGTACCTATAAAAAATAATAGTGTTAATATAAAATAATAAGATATAAATAATTATTATTATTTACCTGGTACCGTCGGCTTTCCACGATACCCGATAAGGTTTGATTTCCAATTTTTTTATATTTTCGTTGTCCATTGAAACGGGTTGCGACCCTGGAAAACCTTTATTCTTCCAATTACACATAGCCTGTAAAAAATAATATATCACAATTGATATAATTTTATATGGGTATATACAGGGCCGGTCCTGCCTTGCATGCGATGCATGCAAAAAATGCGGGCGCAAGCCTTAGGGGGCGCCAAAACGAGTTTCGGAAATTAAATTTATAATATAATATTTATACTTTTTATATGAAATCTAGAATTATTTATTTAAAATCTAGAATACTTAATAAATTATAATAAATAATTTAACTTAACTAG